GCTGGTCCTGGCAGGGCCCCCAAGCGTGACGTGCGTGTTCTCTGGGCCCTCCCTCCTCTCCATCCCTATCTGCTCCTGGTGATAAACTGGGATCTGCTGCTCGGGGACTGAAATGTGGTGGTCGCAGATCTGACAGAGAACAGGCCACAGTGGGTGAGGAAATCTCAATTGTAAACTTAGTTTCCTTTAATTCGTATCTTTATTGGGTGCCAGGAGGAAGTTAGCCATCAGAAACTCCTCCTAGGGCAGCGGTTCTCAGCCTGTGGGTTGCGACCCCTTTGGGGGTCAAACAACCCTTTCACAGGGGTCGCCTAAGATCATCGGAAAACACATATATAATTCCATATTGTTTTTGTGATGAATCACTATGCTTTAACTATGTTCAATTTGTAACAATGAAATTGGGGTCACCACAACATGAGGAACTGTATTACAAGGTCACGCATTAGGAAGGTTGAGAACCACTGTCCTAGGGGAGTGCGACTCAGTGATAGGGAGCAGTGAACATTTGCCTGCATTGGGGTCCTATTCATTGCGGCAAAGACCACAATGGTGCACCCCCACGTTCCCATTTCACACCCCCTTTCCACACTTTCTTGTTTGAAAATGTGTCTTTATCGTTGAAAGTATTACAGAAGGCCCCCTTTATTCCCCAAGGACCCCCCTCTCCACTCCTGCCCCTCCCCAGGCCTTCACCCCACTATTGTCTGTGTCCATGGTTTATGCAGATTTTATTAGTTCTTTCATTGATCTCTCCCCCCTCCTTCCCTCTGAGGATCCTCAGTATGTTACATGCTTCCATGTCTCTGGATCTATTTTGTTTGTCACTTTATCCTGTTCATTAGATGCCTCATATGCGTGGGATCCTGAGATACCTGTCTTTCTCTGACTGGCTTATTTCACTCAGCATAATGCTCTCCAGGTCCCTCCATGCTGTCTCAAAGGGTAAGAGACCCTTCTTTTTTACTACTGTGTAGTATTCCACGGTGTAAATGTACCACAGCTTTTTTATCCATTTATCTGCTGGTGGGCTCTTGGGCTGTTTCCAGATCTTAGCTATTGTAAATTGTGCTGCTAGGAACACAGGGGTGCATATATTCTTTCTGATTGGTGTTTCAGGCTTCTTGGCATATATTTGTAAAAGAGGATCACTGGGTCCAATCGCAGTTCCATTTTTAATTTTATGAGGAAACGCTACACTGTTTTCTGCAGAGCTTGTACCAAGTTTCTGTTTCTCCACATCCTCACCAGCACTTGTTGATTTACTGATGGTAGCCAATCTGGGAGGTGTGAGGTGGCATCTCATTGTTGTTTTAATTGGCATCTCTCTGCTGATTAGTGATGCTGAGCATTTTGTCACAGGTCTCTGAGCCATTTCTATGTTCTCTTTGGAGAAGTGTCTATTTAGGTGCTCTTCCCATTTTGTGGTTGGACTGTTTTGTCTTCCTTCTGTGGAATTGTATGAGAACTTGATATATTTTGGAAATCAGCCCCTTATCCAATGTATCGTTTTGGCAAGTATGTTCTCCCTTACAGTGTGTTCCCATTTGATTTTGATCCTGGTTTCTTTTGCTGTGCAGAAGCTGTTTATTAGACGCAGTCCCAGTTGTTTATGTTTTCCCATGTTTCTCTTGCCCTAGGGGTTGTACCAGTGAAAATACTGCTAAGTGAAGTGTCTGACAGGATTGCTGCCCTTGCTTTCTTCTAGGATTTTTACGGATTCACGACTACACTGAAGTCCTTTATCCATTTTGAGTTTGTTCTAGTGTCTGTGTAAGTTGGTGGTGTAGTTTTGTTTTGTTTTTTTTGCATGTACCTGTCCATTTTCCCATCCCCATTTACTGAAGAGAGATGCATGAAAGCAACCTCATATTAGCACACGTGCAGGGAGCACTCACTGGGCTGCTGCCGGAGGCAGTCCATGCAATGGCACAGAAGCACCTGGGCACCGCAGGCCATTCGCACTGCAGAGAGCCTTTCTGTCCGAGGAGAGCAGCGCAGGGAGAGACAGAGACCTGGTGTGAACGTGACTGCATGCGTCACGCAGCCATGACACAGGAGCTGAGACCACTGCTGGGCGCCTCCCGGCTGCAGAGCGCCGCAGGGCGGTCCCACTCCCACAGAAAAGGCCAGGACCTTCCTGGGATCCTGGCGCGCTCATGCCGGAAGCGTTTTCAGTCAAACTGGTTGACTTAACCCTCCGCCTATTGCTTACTGTTTGGCCCCAAAAGGAAGCCCCGCCCAGCACCCGTCAGGTGAGGTGCGATGGTCAGTTGTCCTTCAACCACTGGAACCTCTTGAGGAGCCTCTGGGACATGCTTTTGCTCTCCTGCCGCCCCTCCAGTTCGAGTTTGTCCTGTCCGTGCTGCTGTGGGAGCGGCCCTTCTGAGGGAAGGCCGGGCCGATAGGGACCCAGGCTGCGCCTCAAGCCCACAGGCCCTGTAGGAGGCTTTCCCCGGAGGGAGGCAGTGGGGCCCCCTTTCTCTCCGCAGGCATCCTACCCACATGGGGCCCGTGGCTCTGGCAGTACTGACATTCACACCTAAATCGGTTCTGATCTCTCCTCCCCCTGACCCGATAAGGGGTCGCGGGATCAACGTGTCTCCGTCTCGGGTGTCCCAGAAATGCTTTTGTTTTGAGGGGTCGCTGACCTTTCCCAGGGCCTCTCTTGTAGGGTGTCCTCACCTCGGTGCCGCTGCTGGAGCACCCCTGGTAGAGGGGCAGGGCAGGTGGTGCCAGGACTGGGGTTCCCGTCACCGAGGCCCCACGGGCAGTTCTGGGAGGGAAGGAGGAGAGGGTGCCGTGACTTCCCGGGAGGACTCTTCTGAGGCCATCGGGAAAGATGCAGAAATCAACGCTGAGCTGCGTCCCGGAGTCGATCCCTGAAGGCCTAGTCCCTGCTCAAAGCTCCAGGCGGCCGCTGGGTCTGGACAGGAAGGTGAAGAAGGTTCTCAAAGAGCCTGATGAACCCCGACTGCAACACACGGTGGTGAAAGAAGAAGGAAAGTCCAACACCATTCATCCTCACTTTCCTGTCCCGGTGTTTCCAAGCTGCACAATGGGGAGTGTAAGGAACCCTACCTCCTGGATCCTTCTGCGTGTTAAATGGGGTAATACAGCCCAAGACCTCAAACACTGATGGCTTACATGCGGGGTTTTAGAAAAAAGGTGCATTCATGCGTCCAGATATGACATGGGATGCAAAATGACCGGCCATGGTAACGCCCTGCTGACTTTTTGCAAACTGTTCCCAACCACAATTGTAACAGCAATCAACGTGTGACTAACAGGTGTTCTTCTCGTAAGCACTCCTAGACTTCCAAAACGTAGACCTTTACTCAGTTCTAAGCATTTGCAGCACGCTGATACACCCTGGTATTTTTAAAAATATACTTTTATTGGTTTCAGACGAAGGGAGGGGGAGAGAGAGAAACACCAATGATGAGAGAAAATCATGGATCAGCTGCCTCCTGCATGCTCCCCCCCCTCACTGGGGATCGAGCCCATAAGGCAGGCATGTGCCCTGACAGGGTCGTGACCTTCTGGTTCATAGGTCGATGCTCAACTCTTTTTTTATTTTTATATTTTATTGATTTTTTACAGAGAGGAAAGGAGAGGGTTAGAGAGTTAGAAACATTGATCAGCTGCCTCCTGCACATCTCCCACTGGGGACGTGCCCGCAACCCAGATACATGCCCCTGACCAGAATCGAACCCGGGACTTTTCAGTCCGCAGGCCGACGCTCTATCCACTGAGCCAAACCGGTTTCGGCTGATGCTCAACTCTTGATCTAGGCTGGCCAGGCCTGACACACCCAGTTAACGTTAACCTTTATCCTAATTGGTTGTTCGTATAGTCAGTAGGTTGCTCAAGACGATGGAAATAAAAATTTACTTTAGTACAAATTTATTGTAGTAAAAATAACAGAAATTAATGAAATTTCTAACAGAAAAAATAGAGAAACCCAAATCCATCGGAACTGGTTCTTTGCAGTAGGAGGAATGAAAGGGGTGGTTTTCCTACAGACCCAGCAAATAGGAAAGGGCAATATGGTATCGCTATATCCAACTCTACATATACAAATGCAGCAACTTACAACAAGAGGCTCAATGACACAAAAACCATAAACTACGAAAACTCTCCCGGGTGAAAGAGCATGCATAGTCCAACATCTTTTATAGAAATTTAGCTGAAACCGGTTTGGCTTAGTGGATAGAGCGTCGGCCTGCGGACTGAAAGGTCCCGGGTTCGATTCCGGTCAGGGGCATGTACCTGGGTTGCGGGCACATCCCCAGTAGGAGATGTGCAAGAGGCAGCTGATCGATGTTCCTCTCTCATCGATGTTTCTAGCTCTCTATCTCTCTCCCTTCCTCTCTGTAAAAAATTGATAAAATATATATATAAAAAAAGAAATCTAAGTGGAGTTAAAGTCCTTTGGAAAAGAATCCAGAGAGTAAATACAGACACAAACAACGTCTACTTTTCAAATTGCACATCACTCTGAATAGTGAAAAGCAATCTCTTGCCTTCCAATTCCACACCCCACCCCAAGGAGATCATCCTTTGTCCAGGGTATCCATGCTATACGCACTACCACCGCCCACAGGTCACTTAGTAACCCTCTCAGTTATCAGGTGGACTGTTGGGGTAGCCCATGGCTTGTGTTGAAGTAACTGTTATGTTACTACTAACGACTGTCTCCATCGCACTAACGGAAAAAGCAGGCACAGACATGTTAACAAACTTGCTCAGTGTCGCCCAGCAGTACGTGAGTTGCCACAGGCCCGGACGCATTGTGGGAAACTCACTGTGTTGCGGGTTTGTTGCATCAAGGCTAAGATCCAATGGCCACTGCAAAGGATTTCAGTTTACAGCTCACATGGAACACAGACTGATTTTGGAGCATGGGACTGCACAGTAAATAGGCAGCTGTCTGCAATGGAAATCCTTTAGGTGTGAGCTTGACAGGACTGGGACCAGGACACTTGGTGGAAATGACGCTCTGAGAGCCTCTTCAGTCCAGCTGACAGCACGGCAGCCTCTGGCCTGAATGGCCTGCCTTGGGTCTGTGCATCGAGAAGGCCAGACGGTGGTCACGTCTACATCCTCACAATGGACAGGGCAACCTGGCAGCAGGAAACAAGACCGTTGCCCTGTCCCACTAGTTCCCAGACGAGTTGTCCACAAAAGTGGGAACCCAGGAACTTAAAATGTGCCCCCTGTGATCCACACCCAGGGAATCCCACTTGGTGTGGCTACCACAGTGCCCTAGGAACGGTGATTTTAATCTCTGCCAGAAAACTCTCAGGAGCATTATTAAATCCTTTGGTAGCCAGCCGGTCTCTAATGTACTGACTTTTCCCGGGGAGACACACGGCTGAGGAGACCAACCAGAACCTCAGAGGCAGAGACCATAATGAACACGAGAGCCAAGGGCAGGGCAGGGGACCTGTAGACGACCTCACAACCCTTCACTGGCCTTCCTCCCCGAAGGGTGCACTGTATCTCCAATCCATTCTCTCATGGCCGGTGGGTGGCGGTAGGCACAGGAGATGACATTTTAGACGCCATAATGGCACAGGCTTTTCCCCGGGTCCATGCAAGACCCATGAAGTGAGATTATGGGACGCATTATCCCCACCCTCCCAGCCTCTGGTCCTTTCCTGCACCCAACTCCATTCCCACAAGCCTAGAGCAACCGGCACATGGGCAAATGTCTTTCCTTCAACTATGAGACACGGACCCTGACCTGAGGAGATCTCTCTCCCTCTCCTGCTTTCCGCTGTCCTTTCCCTGATCTCAGCTGCGGTCCCAAACCAGACAGCTTTCTCCAGCAGCTAAGGGACCCAGCCTGGTCCCTTCCTCTGGTGGCCTAGCCTGGAGAGGGCTTGTTCTCACAGAGAAGGCCCCGTTCCAGGAGCCAAGAGCCACGACTCGTACAGAGCCACCCTGGGCATCCATGGCAGTGGTACGTACACACACACACACACACACACACACACAGGCACACAATCAGCCTTATCCGACCATAAAATAGAGGAAAATCCTGCTTTTTGCAACTACAGGTGGAGCTGACAGGATTATGCTTAGTGAAATAACTTAGAGAAAGACAAATACTGGATGTTCTTGCATATGTGGAAACTCAAAAACCAAACTCATAGAAATATAGATTAGAATGGTGGTTGTCAGGGCATGGGAGAAATGTTAAGCAAATTTTCCAAATTCTATAAGGTAAGTCTTGGGGATCTGATGTACCCCGCGATGACTCTAATTAGCAACACTGTGTTCTTTATTGAAAGTAGCTGAGCGAGTGGATGTTACATGTTATCGTCACAGACACAAAATGGTAATTATGTGAGGGGATGGAGATGCTAACACACCTTACTGTGGCCATCACTTCATGATAAAAATGTGTATCAAATCATCCCGCTGTACACTCTAAACGTAGATGTGTTACACGCTGATGTGTCAAAGCTGAAAAACATTGTCGTCCCCCCCCCATCAAGTGGGCATCCCTCCAGCCATGTTCTGTGCCCTCTGATAGCGCCCATCATTCCCTGAACTTACTCTTAGTATTGACACCACCAGTTGAGCCGGATTCTGTCCTCCTCGACCTCCCGCAGCGCCAGCGCCAGCGCCAGTCCTTTAGTGGAGAATGGTATTTAGAAGCCAGGACCTGGGGGCTAGGTGTACTAGTGCCATTGCAATGCTGTTGAAACCAGCAGTATTGGAATATACGCATGTACACAATCGCACACACACAAACATATGCATCTGTGTCACCTTTCCCACGCATTCTCGTGGACACATACTAAAGCCATGAGTTCACACGGAGGCCTCTGACTTCAGCATACCACCTCTGAGTTTGTTCTGGTTTGCCTCTTGCCCCATTGGGAACTCCCCTTTCTCAAGCGAGAGTCCTGGCTCCCATCGCCTTGTACATTTCCGGAGCTGAGGGGTCCCAAGGTATGTAAGCCAGCCCTTCCCCACAGAGAGCCCTCCTCACACGCGGTGCTGAAGCTTCCCCTGCTCTTGACCGCCTCAACCCCTCAGCACTGCATCCCTGAGGCAGCTAGCCTTCCAGCACCCAACCCTGGGGACATCCTCCTGGCCGCCTGGGGCTCTCTCACCCCTGCAGCCTGTCCCCCAGTGTGGACGCCTCCTCCCCGTGCTGGGGTCTGACCCCCAACTTGCTTCCTTGCTCTGCCGCACCTGATATGGTAGCTGCAGGACAGAACTGCTCTGGCACAAAAGGGAAGGGACGCGAGACAAAGGGGAGGGAAGCGCAAAAGGTGAGCACATTTAGGACCGTCAGGTAATTCAGGTGAATCGGGCCCAAGCATGGCAACACTACGAAGCCCCTGTCTTTTTTCTCACTGGTCTCCAGCTTCCCTTTCCTGCCCCTCTCCTCTGCTCAGGTCCTCTCTCATTCACAACATCCTCCCCTCCATCCAGCGGAAAATGTCACCCTGGCGTGATTCCTGCACTATCATTGCATCGGCCGCTTGGCTGACCTTCAGAGTGGACGGTGTCCTCCCTGCAGCTCCGACGCTCAAGCCCTCTGCCTCTCATGATGGAGTTGAAAGTTTCACTCCTCTTTTGGCAATTTCAGGTGTGAGCAGGAGAGCAAGCTCACGGGCTACTTCTTGGAGCCTCAGGTCCTTCGTCGGGAAGATAAGCGTGACCCCAACCCCCTCCCGGGCCGGAGGAGAAACAGAGATGGCAATACCAGGCACCTCCCATGCGCGCTGCGTGTCAATCCCAGCGCGGAGGCACTTTACCAGGGTCGCGGGACTCCTCCACCTCCAGGAACAGCCGCGTGCATTTCCCCCTCAGCACGGTTGC